GCTAACATCTCACCCACCTTCGACCACCGAAGCAAGTGACGATGACCGTGGCGAAGAGCCCATTGACGTCACACCTGGAGAGGAGTGGATCGCAAGGGTTGAAACGGCGAGGCAGGCCGTGGAGATATTAGGCCGGCGTTTGAACGTGGCCGATGGCAAGTTCAAGACCCTTGAGGACTTCACCCTTGAGGAGACTGAAAACCTTCGCAAGGAGTTGGAGGGACGTCAGCGGGCCAAGTTCGAGATGAAGGAGGCCATCACTTCCTTGGAATGTCGGCTCATGAAGGCGTTGAGCACGATTGAGACCATGAAGGCCGAGATGAAAGCACTCAAGGAGGGCATGGAAGTTGGAGGATCGTCGTCGCTTGACCGAGATAGAGAGGCCAAGGTCGAGGCTTCCAAGCCACCTATGTTCAAAGGTGTCCGTGACGCGCAAGAGGCGGAAAATTTCTTATGGCATTTGGAGAATTACTTCAAGTGCAACAGGCTGAAGAGCGACGAGAGTAAGATCAACACCGTTGTGTTGTATCTTTCGGAGATGGCCATGCTATGGTGGAGGTGCAAAGAGGCCGAGATAGGGAAGGGGACGTGCACCATCAACACCTGGGAGCAATTCCGGGAAGAGTTCAAGAAAGCCTTTTTCCCTAACAACGTCTTCTATGAGGAGAAGCACAAGTTTAGGGAGTTGAAGTAAACGGGCAGCATACGCGCATATGTGCAAGAGTTCACTACCCTCACGCTTCAAATTCCTAACCTCACGGATGATGATATGTTGTTCCACTTCATGGATGGGCTGCAAAATTGGGCCAGGACGGAGTTGGAACGTCGGCAGGTCAGGACCATAGACGAAGCCATCACGCAGGCCGAAGCTTTGACAGACTTCAGGCATGAGAAGCTCAACAGAGCCAGAGAAGAGGAAGCGAGAGGTAGTCATGACCATGGTGGGGGAGATCGTGGCGAAGGCGAGGAGCAGCGGCTACATCCCAAGAAGCATGACACCTATAAGTCCGATGGCAACACGGAGAGGAAGATAGAGGTTGCCAACAAATGTGGCTGCTACATATGCGGTGGGCCGCATGGTTATGCAAGGTGCCCTGAACTGAAGAGCCTTGGTGCCATCCTGCGAGAGCGGAAGGAGAAAGACGCCCAGGAACAAGGACAAGGCGAAGGGACGACGCAGTTGGGCCTGATAGGACTATGCGGAGCCATCATGAAGTAGCCAGAGAAGCCAAGAGGATACGGCGCGCAGTATGTCGACCTTAAGATCAATGGAAAGCCCGCTTATGCTTTGGTCGACACGGGTGCAGAAGTCAATCTCATGACCAAAAAGGTAGCAACGAGGTTGGGGCTAAGTTACAAGCTAAGTAACGCCCAACTAAGGACTGTCAATGCACCCCTGACTCCTGTGAGTGGAGTTGCGCATAGAGTGAGCATCACACTAAGCGAGTGGCAAGGTAAGGCCAACTTCATTGTCGCTCTTTTAGATCTTTTTGACATAATTCTTGGGGAAGGAGTTATTCCAGCAGTGCCACGCAGTGATCGACCCTTACCTTCAACGACTTCTAGTCATGGAGCAAGGAAGATTATGTATGGTGCCCATAGTCAAGGTACCGAAGACGGAAGGACAAGTACGCCTAACGGCCATGCAGCTCGAGAAAAACCCTAAGAAGAAGGAGTCGACGCATACGGCCACCATTGCATGTTCGAAGAAAGACAACGGTGCGAAAGGGTCCCTGCCGCCACGCTCGAAGAAGGTTACAAAAGGGAACAATGCCATGATGCCAAAGAAGTTGTCGAGGCACTTGCCTCCTAGGAAGGAGGTAGGTCATAAGTCCGAGCTAGAAGCGATATGGAAGACGTTGAAGGTGTTGCGCAAGGGCCTTAATCGAGTCTATGGACTGTTGGTTGCGCATGCACAAGGCTCAGATGACGATGTAGCGGCAATGCGACGCGGTCGTCGCATCAATAGTGGGGGAGAGTGTCACGTCCCGCCACCTCACAGTTAAATTTTGCGTCCGGATAGGGGCGGAAGGGTTTAGAGTTGTGGAGAGGTTTGCGGAGAACTCTAGAACCTTGTAGATGATTCAAGAAGGCTAGAGAATTCCTTAGAATTCTCTAGAATAACTTAGATATTTTCCAAGAAATCTTTAGAATTTCCTAGAATTGGTAGAGAATTCTAGAAAGGGACTAAAATGTAATTATTAGAGGGACTTGTAAAGTAATTTTTATTTGCACTTAGGCCCTTAAGAAGTAGTATAAATCGAAGGGGCCTCTCATTTGTAAATCACCAAGAAAGTTGTAAGCCTCCAAGCAATATAAAGCCTTCTTCCAAAATTCTCTAAGTCTTTCCTTTCATTCTCTTAGCGATCTTAGCATAAAAGGCTTACTTGAGCTTACAAGATCTTGAAAGACTAGTGAGTAAGTTGTCAAGTGCCGCACGGAGCTTTAGTAAGACTTTAAGTCCGTGACAATAGGCCCAACCGCCCAACAATGTATCTTGCAATATCATTTTTTTTAGATAAAGTGTCAAAAACACACTTAAACTATCCTTTTTATTTTAGTTTCATACCTAAACTATTGAGAATGTGAGTTTCATACCTAAACTATCACTTTTTAGTTTGAGAAACACACTCTCTCTTTTATTTGAAAAAGTCTTTTACACATGGCATTCCACATGGATAAAATATTCCACCTTGACAAAAATTAAATAATAAACTATTAATATTAATTAAAAAATTAAAGATTAAAGTATTACTATCCATAAAATAAAAAATTTAAAAATAAAATTTAAATTATTTTTCTTACCCCACTCCACCACCTCCTCCACGTACCCCCCCCCCCCCCCCACCCCCCCCCCCTTTTTCAAAAAAAA